TTCTGGATTTTGGTGGTTAATTGAAGAGTTCTCACAGATTCTCCTGCCCAGCTGGCTTCCAGATCTTCATCTCAACATCCTGATTAACTAAGATTACAGATATGAGCCACTAGTGCCTGGCTGGAATCTATTTTCATTTTAACAATCCAAAAATCTGTGCCTTATAACAAGTTTCTGATGACTAAGAAGAAAGCAGCTTGAGAAGGAGCATCTTTTCCTAATTCACACAAATTTGCCCTGTGAGCTCATATCAATAAGCTGTGATAAAACTTAGACTCCACCAGTCAGTGTGATTTTATTTGGCTTCTTTTTACAGCTCAAGTGTATCGTATTAAACTTGCTTTAAGCTGTTAACACTCTGTCCCCCCTCTTCTTATTCCATTTCCCCACCTTCTTCTCTCTCTAGATCTGGACCTACCCACGCTGTCTTGTAAGTCACAACAGATCACTCTTCCTTGCTAATCTCATTTTCCAAAATTAACACAGCTTCCAAGCTATCCATTGTAGGAACATGCCAGATTTGTGATCCAGGAAGACAAGAGGGCTCCAACCCGAAAGTATACTTAGGGAGCTCTCCCTGTTCTGCCCTATCTGTCTGGATCTGCTCCAAGGCCTCCAAAACACATCAACTGCTAAAAACCATTAACATGTATACTGCTTACCTAGGGACACAAATCACTCTGTTGGCTCCTGCTCCATTGTAGCCTTAGGGTCAATTTAGATTCTGGTTAAATTGTCTCTACATGGAGTCTCCCCTGCAACATTTCAACTCTAAAGCAGCACATGGCAGCTTGACCCTCAAAAGCATCCTCTGTTCTATATAAGACACTTCCTAGAAATCAATTGTGCAGAAAAGATGCAGAGCCACTTGAAGAGTGGCCACTGCCCAGACCAGATCAGATGGGATTGGAAAGGGCAGGTGAACTACTACCTGCTAACAAAATCCTAAACCACAAAGACCAAAATGCTCACAGGTGTTAAACACAAAATAGCCACTCCCTTCTGTTCTTTCAATGTATATGATAGTCCTAGTTCACATTTTCCATGTTTGAAAGGGGCTTTGACTGAAGATCACAGTCGAATTATTCATCAGAGAAGTTTTAGGATATCCTTCCGTGAACCCAAGTCATCAAGCTCTGAGCTGGCAGAACTCCGTCCCCAAGGGAAAGTTATCATGAATACAGCTGCTGGTCCAGCTGGAATCATTTGGCAGCTCAGGCTGCTGTCATTATGATATACATGGCCGTGGCGAGGCTGAGGTGGCACAGGAGTGGACCCATAGATGTTGCTATCCTGTGTGTCTTTCCATCCAACCTTTTGCTTGCTCCCCGCCCATACAGGCCCCCATACCCACTGTTAAATTCTCCCAACCTTTGCTGCTTCTCTTTTTTTTTAATGTATCTATTCTGCCACCTAGCCTTCAACAGTGTCATTACACCAAAGCTGCCTTGAACAGTTGCTCTGCAGACAGCAGACCTGCTGAACTTTGCTTATCTGGTGAGGGACTGCATGCTTTTATGTCCTTTTATTTTTAATTGAAGGTCATTGTGCCTTAGTTTGGCACACAGATGAGACCATAGCATTAGTATACTCAACACGTGTATTGGTCTCTGCATAAAGAACTGAAGTCAATGTCATGAAGTTTAGAAAACAGAATCAATGTGATAAATAAGCCTATCTGAATCTGTGGTGATATAGCAACACAGAAAAGACGGAAGAACAGCTGCCTTCACTAGTGTTTTTAGAAAAAGAATTCGTGGTGCTTTGTTACCTACGAAGTCACATTTCTCCACTTCATGCTTTTCTACCCAGAAGAATGACATGATGATGCTTCAGCCATTATGCTTCCCTTAGAAATTACTTCAAAACTTCCAGGAAAGTATTACAAGGAAGGGCATTATTTTGTGGGGGGTCCAGTCAGGGGGCCTGAACTCTGGGCCTGAGCACTGTCCCTCAGCTCTTCAGCTCAAGGCTAGCGCTCTACCACTTGAGCCACACCGCCACTTCTGGCTTTTTTCTTTTTGCTTATGTGGTGCTGAGGAATCGAACCCAGGGCCTCAGGCATGCAAGGCAAGCGCTCTACCACTGAGCCACCTTCCCAGCCCCAAGGAAGGGCATTTTTAAATAAAAGTGTTAGCTGCCCTTTAAAAAGTTTTCCAAGCTAAAGAGCACAAATCTTTCACTCAATTGTATTTCTCAAAACTTTGGATAGGCAGTTGATCTTTTAAAGGAAAGATGCAGTAAAGGAAAGAGGCAGTGATTGGGGGAAACAAGACACAAATGGGTGATATTCCCACTTCACCTAGAAAGATATGGTCAGCAGTAACAAAGCAATGCCAAGAGGAGCAAAGCTCATGACAGCAAAAGTAAGTGAGCAGCAAACAAGTTCTCCGCACAAGAATACAGCCTCTGACATTTGTATCTGGCAGAAATGCACCAGCCCCTCCCAGCCAAACTTGATGGAAACCTCTTTCCAGAAGTAGTCATCTAGAGGCGACTGTGGACAGAAAGCTATGCCAATAGACTTGAGAGGAGACCTATAGGTACCCCCACTGTCCAACTTCTTTTTCCTCCACTGCTGTATACTAATTATAGACTCTTTGGTGCAAAACCTACCCTGCAGGTTCCCTATCTTTGGAAGAAATCACTGTAGGTAATATCAGGATGCTGAGAATTCTTCTTTCCCCTACGCATTCTTGGGAAGCCTACCCACTGTCCTTGGAGGGCAGTAGCACCAGTCCTTGAATTCCTCCTGACCAGAGCCTGAGAGGAAGAGGAGATAAAGAATGATTGCTCAATACTGACTCTCTGGCCCTCCCCAAAGGTCCTCTCCCCCTCCCACCAGGGGCCACTTCCAGAGGATTCTTTTCTTTCACTCTGTCCTCATCTCTTCCTCTTTTCACCTATCTTTAGGCTCCATGTTCTTAGCCACTGGACATTGGCTTGTTAAAAAGAGGTGTCACCAGAGGCCATCTTCTGAGAATGCAGGGTGTCTGGCACCAGACAATTCAGGTTTCTGGGGAAGCCTCATTTCAAATGCTGCCAGGCAGAACCAGAGCCCACTCCACACACTGATCTGCCATTCTTCTAGTCTGAGCTTGACACAGATGAGAAAATAACACTTGATCTCCCCCATTTCTGAAAGATTTCAACCAACTTTTCGGATCTGAATTTGCTCCCTGCTTTACCCAGCCTCCAGACAGAAGGGAGAAGCAATTGGAATCAGCTCCAGGTTTGGGTTTTTTTTTTTCTTTTCCATTTAAATCATTATACACAGCTCTCTTCCAGTCAACACTTAAAACCTGTTTGGCAATTGACACAGAAGCACAACTTTAAACTTTAGGCTCCTTTTTAAAATGTGCCTTTTGGCAAATAGATAAGTGAGAAGAGAGATTAGGATCTAAGGGGTGAAGGTGGAGGTAGGGGGTGTGAAAGGCACCAAGTGAGATACTCCCTCCCAAATCAAACTAGCAAGAGAAATATTTTCCTAAGAGCAATCTTGCAGAAAGAATTCTTATCATAGATAAGGGTGCAGTCTAGTGGCAAACTTCATGAAATGCAGCCCCTTCTCCCAAGGAAGATTAAAGTGCGTTTGCAAGGCAGGAAGGGAAACTTACGGAGGGGAACAGCCCTATCCCAAAGGGCTTCGTCAAAAAACAGCAATGATGGGTCATTTCTTTCCAACCCCTGACGTCCACAGCCCACCCATACTGCTATTTTCAGAGAAAGCTATAGTCACCATCTTCCCTCTTTAAGGCTTCCATTTCTTTCATTTTCCTAAGGAAGGACAGTGTTTGCTAGTGCCCCATAGACCGAGGTTTTAAGTGGTATGATGATGTCCCTCGCCAGAATCTCTGCCAAGCAGACCCTGTGGCCCTGTCATCTCATATCCTAGAGATGTGTCCGCTTGTACCGGTCCACCTTAAGACAAGGTCTAGGTCTGGTGCCCATTCCCTCCAGAGACCACCCCACACATCAGACTCAGACCTACAGAATAGCATGGATGGTGTCACTGCCGTCCACCTTGCTTCTACCTAACATTGGACATCAGGAACTCCCCGGGCATCAGAGATTTACAGATGCAACAGCATTTCCTCCCCAGTCAGACACTGCTCCCAACAACACTGCTGGATGGATGTCCCTTCCTGCAAGGGCAACACACACACACACACACACACACACACACACACACATCTTGTGGGGCCAACCATAGGTTAGGAAAGTGGCCACGGATTGATTGACCCTCTAGTCAAAGATAGCCACTCTACCACTGTTAGAAAATACTCTGATTAAATCACTTTCCCCAGACTTTGGAGAAAAGAGGTTTCCAGTTTTCCTTTTATTTTTACCCCTCTCTTTCTAATTCAACTCACCACCCATAACTGACAAGTTTATACTATCTGCCCCCCCAACACACACACACACACACACACACATCTTACCTAGTAACCGTGATACCAACAGACAGCTCTCTCTAAAGCTTGGGAAGAATTTCTAGGGCACTCTGTGTGTGTGTGTGTGTGTATTTTATATATACATATACATATATATCCAGTTGGTTAATAAGAAAATGTGCCTCCCTCTAGCCTGCCTTCTGCCTAGTTAAAGGAAAGGAGGCAGAGAGAAACCAAGTTATATTGTGCTCCCCCCTGTCTGGGCAGATTTCTCTCTCTTCCATTTGTCTCTCCACCCCCTTCCCCACAATCCCAGCCTGGTCCCTTCAATCCCCTATTTCTTACTTTGTCGGTAGAGGAAGGTGTTGTACTGGGAGTGGTGGAGGAGAGCCCCCGCATGTCTGGAAGGCCTGCCCCACCCCCACCCCGTGTGAGTTTGTACAGCAAAGCTTGGCATCCTTGCCTGGGTTGGGTGATGGGGAGCTCAAATTGCAACTACAAACTGGCTGACAGCCAGGGGCCGTCTATTTAAAAGCGCCTGCTCGCCCGGAGCCCGCAGTCTCTTTGGAAACTTCTGCCAGAGGGGAAAGAGCTAGGAAAGAGCTGCTAAGGCTGTGGAGGGCTTTTTTCCCCCTTTTTCTTCTTCTTCTTTTTTTTTCCTTTTTTCTTTTTTTTCTCCTCGCGTTTGTATCCCTTCTTCGAACTTCACGCAAAATCTGTGAATTTCGAAGAGGTGGTAACCAGAGTGGGAGAAAAAAAAAGAGAAGCGCTTGCTGGTTAGGGTTCCGTGTAATCTTTTACCCCCCTTCTTTTCTTCATTTCAACATTTTTCTCCCACCACCTCGGCGGCCGCCAACCGTCTCTTACCTGCTCCGCGGCTGCCTGCGCGCGCTCTGACAGCTGCAGGTTGGAGAAGAGCGCGGTGCGCGTTAGATTTTAAGCAAATTGTCTTTTCTAAAGACAATTTCTTTCCTTTTCTACCCCCTCCTTCACCCCCAACACACACACACACACACACACACACACACACACAGCCTCCGAGCTCATTATTTCGGTGGTGGCTTCGAGGTGAGCAATTTTGTGGCTTTTTATTCCCCCCCCCTCCCGCAATTCTGCCCAAATCCCGTCGGGGATTGATCGTCGGCGCCGGGGCTCTCTCCCCGCATGCACCTGGCTCTTCCTTTTCTTGTCTGGCTCCCAACCTGTTGCCGGTCTTTTAATCCTTGCGATCGGGGCTCGCAACCCTCTGCGTACATTTTGCAAGTGTCTGGGGGACGGCACCTGCGCTACCTGCCTGAGATTGAAAAATAAGAAAAAAGAGAGGGGGGAAATCTCCAGGCGTGCCGCTCTTGGCCCCTCTTCTCCCGGCACTCTCGCTCTCCTGCCCCGCCCCGAGGTAAAGGGAGACTCGGAGAAGATGGTGCTCACCACGGTCCTCCTGCTGCTGGCCGCCTATGTGGGACCAGCCCAGGGCCTGGGCTCTTTCATACACTGCGAGCCCTGCGATGAGAAAGCGCTCTCCATGTGTCCCCCCAGCCCCCTGGGCTGCGAGCTGGTCAAGGAGCCCGGCTGCGGCTGCTGCATGACTTGCGCCCTGGCCGAGGGGCAATCCTGCGGCGTCTACACCGAGCGCTGCGCGCAGGGCTTGCGCTGCCTCCCCCGGCAGGATGAAGAGAAGCCGCTGCACGCCCTGCTGCACGGCCGCGGGGTTTGCCTCAACGAAAAGAGCTACCGTGAGCAAGCCAAGATCGGTGAGCGCGTTCAGGGTGCCCGGGGCCAGGCTCCCGGGTGGCTGGTGGGGGGGGGGGGACTTGCGGGGGGGAGTGTGCACAGGACGGGTTGGGCCCTCGCGCGTGCGCGCGCGCCAGCTCTGAGCAGCAAGTGGCTTAGCGGGTGTATCCTGGGAGTCGTGGTGTGGACTATCTGTTCTGGTTACAGGGGGCGGGGGGACGGGGAGGGGGGAGCTGCTTCCCCCAAAGGAACCTCTCTGTTTGGGCTCCTTCTCCACCACCTCCGCCCCACCCCCCAGTCTCTGCACCGTTCCCGATCCCACCCCTCCCGACTCCTGGAGAAAGAGCGACTCCGATCCTATTCGGTCTGGAGGTCCAAATCCGGTGGTACCCAATATCCTGTCTCAAACTAGGCTACATTTCCATCCCACTCCTGCCTCCCAAATGTCGGGTGTTGTGGTTGTTGTTTTTCCCCCTGAACTTGAAAATTCTCTTCGTTAAAATATTGTTTAAATTGGGGCCTAGAGAGGCGTTAGCCATCTAATAAGCTAATTCTACCTTTGTCTCCACCAAGCCCCTCCACCCCGCCCTTCCCCGCCCCCAACTCGTCTGGAAGTGTCCAGTCTGTCGGTCCGTCCTTCTATCCCTACACCCGCTCGCGCGCCCCAGCGTGTTCCGGGCTCCTCCCCCTCCCCCCCACCCGCTACCCCCCCCCCGTCGTGCAATCTTGAGCAGCTAAAAAGCTTCTCGGGTGGGGACCCCGAGGCCCCGCCTACAGGCACACTAATTGCTTTGGACGGGAGATGATTGATTGAGGTACAAGATCAAACGCAATAAACTGAAAAATGCCAGTTCCCCCCCCCATCCACTCTCACCATGTGAATGAATACTTTCGGGGCGCCAGGATAAGGAATGTGGGGGTGGGGTGTGTGGAGGGGTTCGGAAGGAAAGGTTTGGTGTTCTGTGTGGAGTGTTCCTCCCTAAATCGAACCCTTCTTTCGCCTCCAGAGTTCAGATTTTACCTTGGATGAAAGGTGCACGTAGGTTTGGGGAGGCATGGAGGGAGGGAGGAGGTGCGGGGGGGGGGGGAGAGATTCAGATCGGCATAATTTCCCGGTTTAGGCTGATCCTCCGATCGCACCCTTCCACTCGTCCCTAAACCTCAGACGCGCCCCCCTCCCCGCACCACCAACCCCGCCCCTTTCCCCCCC